TCTTTTCTTTTGAGATGGAGTCTTGCTTCCATTGGCCCCAGGCTGGAGATGCAGTGGTGCGATCTCGGCACTGAACTCCACCTCCTAGGCTTCAAATGATTCTTCCTGCTCTAGTCTTCCAAGTACTGGGATTTAGCAGGTGCGCTGTCACCCACACTGGGCTACCCAAGAACTTTGGCGAAACAGTTACCAAACTGTCTCAGACTAAAATGGGACACAGCAACCAAAAAAGTCTTGCACAGTCACTTCAATTACTGTGGCCTGCCAACACACGGCTCAGAGGTTACTGATAGCCTTTCACCTGGATCCACCTTGGAGAGCTGATAACTAATCATACTGGGGTGCCACAACTGCATTTGGTTTCGTCACAGCTAAATCAATTCGGAGTGATTCATGAAGCTTTACTTGGCTCTTGGTTCAATGTCAAGAAACCACAATATTGGGAAAATAAATCATGTAAGCCTTAAGAAAATTTGTTAAAAAGAAAAAAAAAAAAAAAAAAAAAAAAAAATGAACTTTTAGCAACTATTCAAACTGAACCTTCATTTATCATACTAAGATAGAACAAACAAAACACGCCAACTCTAATTTCCATTCTTCTAGCTGTGATTCACACAGATTTAAAAGATACACAGTAAGCTTTAGGACACTAATGTGTTCATCTGTCCAATATGGAAAAATCACGTAGGATGCCATTTATACTCATCATATCTTGTCAATCATGAACACTAAATCATAGTCAGGAATGCTTCTGTAGTTGTTTAAGTTGGCCTGTGGATTAGGAGTTGTCCATGGTCATGAGTCTTTGGGGTGTTATTATGTCCTCCCAGCTGGCTGGGCCTGTGTTGGACCTGGGATGGCTCCATTAACTTCTAATCACGATCACTACCTGTAGTTCGTTTCACTCATTTTTGTATCTTCAGCACATGGGCGTCGTGCAAGGCTGGACTTAAAACTGCAACGAGGACAGATGTGTGCTCTCCTAATTGTTTTAGATATACTGTTTAAAGTGGGATTGCTCCTCTGGGAAATGGAAAGTCCTTAACATCCTGGTCTATGTGAAGCTGAAAATGGTTAAAAGGGCAATGTTTTGGTCTACCATCTGTCATGTCCTGACTATACAGGCTCATGAAATGCACCCTTTGGCCACTTCCTAACTAACCCTTCAAACCATTCTGATTTACTTGGTTTACTTGAGGCTGGGGGAGCTGTGCAAAGGGACCTGTATTGGTTTCCTGGTTCCATTCCAGCCTCCTGCACCCGCAGCACACCACACCACAGAAGACCGACTATGTCCTCCAGCACAGAAATGAGCAGGATATAACACGAGAAGCGGTTTACAAGCACAGAAAATCACCAGTGACTGAACATGGGTCTTAAAACAGGTTCCCATTCAACAGAGGTGAATCACCTGTGGCATCTCCAGCAAGAGTTAATAAACCTTGGAAGTAGTCTTGACTTTTATAAGTTCTCGCAGAAAACAAAGGGTAACTGGTGTGTACTCAATACCTTTTTTTTTTTTTTTTTTGAACATAGTCTTACTCTCACCCAGGGCTGTGAGTGCACTGGCTACCGCGCAATCGGCGGCTGATTAAACCTTCGCCTCCCGGGCTCAATCTGTAATAGAAAGCTAGTAGCCAGTTTTCAGAATATTGAAGAGATAGCATAGACAGCATTTCCCAAGCTTTTTGACAGTGGAACCCCTCTTTGGTAGAGTATCTCTAGTGGCCAGTGTTCCATGGAACATAATTTGGGAATATGCAGTTCTAAGCAAAGGGGGACTGTGACACCAGAGTGTGTACCTTATAGTATTTGTGATGATTTCAGAGCTGAACAAAGACAAGCTCTATTTGTTTACTCAACCTTTAATAGAAGACCAATCAATAACCTCAGCCACTACATCACCCTGTGTACTTCTTCTGAACACTTAGCCATTACTTATGCCTCTTCATTTTTTTTTTCTAAGAAGAGGGTACCATGCATTATTTACTACAATATTTTACAAGACCCCAAAAAGTTCAGGCTAATTTTAAGGAGAACAAAATGCATTTTTAATATAACATGATGGTACATATTTTTGAAGGAAATACAAAAAAATTATCTGAGGGATTTTTCGAGTGCCAACCTGGAGTCAGACACTCAAATAGGCACTGGGGCTATGACAGCAAACAGAGCGGACCTACTAGTAATTGCATGGCCCAAGCATTGGGTCTGTTCTCTTGGGCTGAGTTTTTTTTTTGTTTTTTTTTTTTCCTCTCACTCTGTTCCCCAGGCTGGAGTGCAGTGACGCCATCTTGGCTCACTGCAACCTCCGCCTCCCGGCTTTGAGCAGTTCTCCTGCCTCAGCCTCCCCAGTAGCTGGGATTACAGGCACCTGCCACCATGCCCGGCTAATTTTTGTATTTTTAGTAGAGACGAGATTTCACCATGTTGTCCAGGCTGGTCTCAAACTCCTGACCTCAGGTGATCCACTCGCCTCAGCCTCCCAAAGTGCTAGGATTACAGGGGTGAGCCACTGTACCCAGCCCAACTGTTTTTTTTTTTTTTTTTTTTCCCCGAGGGGACTCTCACTTCATTCTCACAACATCTCCACGAGGTCGAGGCTACCTCCCCTGCCTTTTAGCTGAGCGTGGGCATGCACAGATGTTAGACTTGTCCGAGGTCCTGCAGCTAGGAGGCATCCCAGCCAGGATCTGGACACGGGAGGGCCCACTCTGGCAAGCTGGGTGAACCAACACATTCCCCTGGGTTGCTTTTTCTGTCATTGTTTTCTGTGGTCTTTGCGGATGGGAAGCATGTGAGAAACTGAATCCTTTCAGTTAATGAATCAGATCCTTCGTGGGGTGAAATCCCTGAGAGGGGGAATGTGCCTCTGCTGCTTGCTGGTAGATGCTGTCACCCAGCCTGCAGGTTGTGTGCACTCTGGACAGGGAAGGGGCCACAGTCAGCTGCAGGGACACCACCAAACAGACACGGGTCTGGCCTTGGTCAGTGTCAGTGGAAAAATGAGCCCTGATCCACTGGTGATGCTGCTTCTCTTAAACGACGCGTGAGAAGGTGCTGACTTTGTATCATGGGAGACCTAGGTAAAGATGAGAGGCGAACAAATGCCCGGCCTCAGTACAAGAGCCCCTGGGAGCGGGAGGCAGCACATGCAGGTGCGAACGATGCCCAGCCTCAGCACAAGAGCGCCTGGGAGCGGGAGTCAGGACATGCACGTGCGAACGATGCCTGGCCTCAGCACAAGAGCCCCTGGGAGTGGGAGTCAGCACATGCAGGTGTGAATGATGCCCGGCCTCAGCACAAGAGCCCCTGGGAGTGGGAGTCAGCACATGCAGGTGCTATGGGCAGACTGAAAGGAAACAGGCTGATGGAATTTGCAGGGTCGTGGGAAGCCCCAGGCAGATTTGCCCCTAGCATTTCTAAAGGCAGATGTCACTTGGCACATTTTTGCCTGTGCTCAGGTTGGTGGCATCTAATTGCTTAAGTCATCAGTGTCCTCGACATATGCTTGTTTTTGATACACGAATGGCTTCTGCTTTTCCGTGAAGTGGCTGACCTGCCCATTCCTCTTATGGTGGGACCTCCTTTCTGTGAGCACCTCGGCATCCGTGGCGCGGCCGGGGTGGGGATGGGTCTCTGCCCCGCCACGCACAACTGCTTAGACACTTCCCATTGGCCAGGACACCGTGCCGCCTAGTGACATTGGTTTTAGCAAATCCAGGGTCAGTGTGACAACCAGCAGGTGGACACACACGGCAGGGTGAGAGATGGCAGCGGCTCCCGGCGGTGAGGAAGGTGGGGCTTCCCCAGCCAGACGAATCCGCTGCGGTTCTTCATGCAGCTTTCACAGAGCAGTGTGCAGCAGGACTCAGGAAGACGGGGCGAGCCCTTGAACCCTCTCCTGTCTCATCAACAGAACGGATGCTCTGCTCCTGAGACTATCGCTGGTGGTCGGCAAAGAGGTGTTTTACACCGCCCTCTGGGGGAGCGTCCTGGCCAGCCCGTCCATCCGCCTCCCCGCCTCAGTCTTCGTGGTGAACCACATCAGCAGGGATGCCCCCGGCCAGGAGCAGAAGCACATGCTGGGGACCGATCACCAACTCACGGTGAGTGCTGTGCTCCTCATGGGGCATGGGGAGGGGGCGACACATGGGCACAGCATCCTCATGGGCAGGTTGTCACTGAAGCTACAAAGGGACATCTAGGAAAGGGAAGTGCACCACACTTGAGTCTGGGTAACAAATGGCTGAGCAAGGCGAGAAGGAGGCCTCGTGCAGTTGAGGATGATGGTGGCTTTTTTAACATACGCATTAAGTTTTTGTTGTTGTTGTTTTGTTTTTTTGTTTTGAGACAGAGTCTCGCTCTGTCGCCCAGGCTGGGGTGCAGTGGCATAACCTCGACTCGCTACAACCTTCACCTCTCAGGTTCAAGCAATTCTCCTCTCTCAGCCTCCCGACTAGCTGAGATTACAGGCACCTGCCACCACGCCCGGCTAATTTTTGTGTTTTTAGTAGAGATGGGGTTTCACCATGTTGGCCAGGATGGTCTTGAACTGCCTGCCTGGCAGCTGATCCACCCACCGTGGCCTCCCAAAGTGGCATTAAGATTTATACATTCAAATAAGTGTTCACACCCTCAGAGGTCCCTTCTGGAGGCCCCTGGCTTTGCAGAAATGTGCTTAGCTGCACACAGCGCTCAGAAGGCCTCTGCACGCACAGGGTCTGCCGCATTTTCGGGTCTTTGTTTCCTTCCCCTATCCTGTGTCACGGGGGCCACTGCCCACTCACATGTGGCAACCCCCTCCTCCCTTGGCATCCTCCCCCTGCTCTCCTGTCTCCGTTGGCTGCTTTCAAATCTAAATTATCTCAAGGGTTCGTCAGGTATCCATCCTCTAGCCCTATTCAGAGGGAGCTTTCTCACCTGGTAATGACTCCTGTCTGGTGCCCATTAGAACAATGCTAACCTCCAGATCCTTGTCTCTCTTATCCCCAAACCTGCCTCTTGTGTCTTTATGGCCTTGCCCTGTCTTTCGCTAACCTGGGTGGTTTCCCCACCTTTGATCGTTAAAGTGTTAGGTTGAATTCGCAGGTGACGAAACAGGGGGTCTGCGCAGCTGGGTGTAACATTACCCTCTGAGTCCATTTCTCATGCACAATGGGGGTCGTGACTGCCTCACAGGCTCTCCTGAGGACAGGGAAAAATGGTGACAAGCAGCTCGCCGAATGATCAGCGAACACAGAGATCCCAATGACACAATGCGTCCCTTCCTTGCCCTGCAGTATCCCCTTTGTCTCTCCCTCCCAATCGTCTCCGGCATTCGCCTGGCTTTATCTACTTACTCTTGGATCTGACCTGGGTTCATCGCTCATCCTACCTCGGCGTCCCCATCTAGATCCTACATCACTGCCTAAGAGATTGAGTTCTCCAAGCTAACTCTTGCTCCTAGTATCTGTGGCTTTACACCCATGGTCACTTCATCGCTGCAGTGTGGTGACTCATGCCTGTAAACTCTCAGCACTGTTGGAGGCCCCGAGGCAGGTCCAATCCCTGAGGTCCCAGGAGCGTGCAGCGCGCCGTGCCACATGGTAAAACCCCGCTTTATTAAAAATACCAAAAGGTTAGCCTGGGCGCAGTGGCTCACGGCGGAATTCCCAGCCCTTTCGGGAGGCGCTGAGGCGGGCAGAGTCACTTAGGCCAGCAGTTCC